TTGTGAAGTAAGTGCCCTGCTTAGTTTTGTATCATTAGCAAATACTGAGATTGTGCTATTTATTCCAACCTCTACAGTATATAGTTTATGAACAAATTAAACAGAATCGGTCCCAGGACAGAGCCCTGAGTTACCCTGCTCATAACTCTAGACCAGGCATCACTAAATGGCGGACTGCAGTCTGAATACGGATTGAGTAACAGTCCTGCCCGGACCACAGCCACACCACTTAGCGGCTTGAGTGGACTCCTCTCCTCCTGCTGCTGCAGCTATTAATTATTGAGAGGAATGGCAGCGGGGACTCCTGTTCTGTATGTACTCTTCTGCCGTGGCCACTGCTGTTGAACTCCAGCAGGAAAGAGGGCAGGAGGAATGGAAGGAAGGATTCCTCATCAGAATGTATGCAGAACAGGGGGGAGGACAGGAAACACTGCAGGTCTACAGGAGAGCGGGGAAGGAGAGTGAACCTTTCACTCAAAAAGTGGATTACTCACTTTTTACAGGAAGAGTTAGGCAGCTCTCACCCTCAGTGGAAACCTTCTATGCCTCCTGTCTTCCCACCTGCTCTGAGTTCAGCAGCAGCAAGCCAGTACATTCAGAAGAGGAGTTCTTCCTTCCATTCCTCCCGCTGTCTTCCCTACTGTGACTTCAACAGCAGCAGCAACAGCGGCAGCAGCAGATGATTACATACATAACTGGAGTCCACCCCACCATTCCTCCAGCCCTCCACAATGTGTTAATGTATGTGGAAGATTATGGGGTAGAGGGGGTTGTGATATCAGAGGGGGGAATCTGTGAGATTAGGAAACTGTGATATGGGGGTGCTGTTAGAGGGGGAGCTGTGAAATGGGGGGGCTGTAATGTGAGGAGAACTGTGATATGGGGGGCTGTGATGTGAGGAGAGCTGTGATATGGGGGGCTGTGATGTGAGGAGAGCTGTGATATGGGGGCTGTGATGTGAGGAGAGCTGTGATATGGGGGAACTGTGATGTTAGAGGGGGAGCTGTGATATGGGGGGCTGTGATGTGAGGAGAGCTGTGATATGGGGGGCTGTGATGTGAGGAGAGCTGTGATATGGGGGGCTGTGATGTGAGGAGAGCTGTGATATGGAGGAACTGTGATGTTAGAGGGGGAGCTGTGATTTGGGGGGCTGTGATGTGAGGAGAGCTGTGATATGGGGGAACTGTGATGTTAGAGGGGGAGCTGTGATATGGGCAGCTCTGATGTGAGAGGAGGGAGCTGTGATATGAATGCACTCTGATGTCAGGAGAGGGGGAGCTGTGATGTAGGGGGTTGTGATTGCAAAGGGGACTGTGATGTGAAAGGGGGTTGTGATGTAAGCGGGGCTATAATGATGTGGGGCTCTGATGTGAAACGGAGTTGTGATGTACGGGGGGTCCAAGGACATTAAATGTAAAGGGGGCTGTGATGTGAAAGAATAGAAAAAAAATTAGTTTCTGACCTCTGCAGAAAGAAAAATGTTACCAACCAGACCTCCATGAATTTTAATTCAGTACCCCTGTTCTAGACCATTAAGAAATATATGTGACTAATCACTACTACCTGGAAACACTCCTGCAACAAGTTTTCTATTCAAGTACAGGTCATCAATGCCAAAAGACTTCAAATTATTATTATTATTATTATTATACAGTATTTATAAAGCGCCAACAGTTTGCTCAGCGCTTTACAATATAACGGGAGACAATACAGCAACAATACAGTTCAATACAAGAGGGATAGAAGGGCCCTGCTCCTCGGAGCTTACAATCTAGCTAAATTAATTGTTTATGGGATATTGTATTGTAACGCCCTCTAGGTTAGTTAGTTTTTTGGTTTTGTTTGAGGCTGAGTAAGCCTGGAAAGTGAGGTAGTGAGGTTACCTCAGGACAGGCTGGGAAGCTCTGTCATGTCAGGGCTTCTGGAGCCCTCCCAAAAGGTTTCTGAAAAAGGGGTGGAGGAGGGGTGGAGGCACAGATCTGCATATTTGAGGGACTCTGTTCAATCCCCTGGCAAGAGGCTGAGCATGGTGACCAGGGCAGAGCCTGGGGAGAAGGTGTAGTATCGGGTTGAAGATGGACTGAAGAAGGCTGGAGAGAGTATGGAGCCTGGGAGGGGGCTCCAGGGAGGGGAGTCCCCCCTACAGGCAGATCGCTAGAGAAGAGAATCTCCACTGCCTCAACTTCTCCTGGGGAGGACAGCCTGTGTAGCAAGGAAGTAGCCAGCCCAGTGTAAGGCCTGAAGGCAGCCACCAACCCTCTAAGCTAACAGGAGAGGACCGTGTGAGTACTGTTACACCTCCTGGGCTGGATAAGCGGAGAGGGCAGTCAGGTGCAAGACCCAACGAGCTTCTCACCTGGGACTGTTTAAAATAACAGCTTTTGGGCCCCCTTGCTCAGAGATAACCTCAGGCAGCTAGGTGAAGAGAAGGAATCATCCGAGGGTTTAAGGAGGTACACCTAAGAGCCTTTGGTGCCCTTAAAGAAAAGACTGTTGCTAATCCGAATCTTTGTACATAGTTGCTAAGCAGTTGCCCTCAAATTCTACAGTTCCTCGGGCATCCCATATACCCCTAGACCCTATCCAAGTTTAACCCCTCAATAAAATAACAAAACCAAGCTCAAGGACTGTTTATTGTCTCCAGTGCAAAGTGTGGGAAATGCGTGTTGAATGGCAATGGAGAGCTTTAGGGGACCCAAAACTCAGCCAATCCTAAGGGGATAGTGCTACATATGAATGGCTTAGCAAAATATATATACACAAAATATAGTCCACATGCCTTCCTTTATCCGGATTACAGCTCACCTCTCCAAGAATGTTATTAGGTTGGTCTAAAAAATAAATAAAAGTTCTTTGTAAATCCCTGTTGGTTACTGCTAATGTTACTATTTTCATCAGCAGATTCTTGGATAGGGTCCCTTATCATTCTTTCCAGTAGTTTACATACTATTGACATTAGGCTGTCTGGTCTGTAGTTCCCAGGCGTATATCCTGAATATTGAACACTTTTTTGGAACATTTTTGAATATTGGTACCACATTTGCCTTTGCCAAATTGCTGGTACCATTCCAGTCAATAAGCGGTTTTCAAAAATTGGCAACAATGATCTGGCTGTAAAATTCAAGAACTCTCAGGTGTGGGCCATCTGGTCCTGGTGCTTTGTTCACATTAATCTTTTCTAGTCTGTTTTGAAAACTGGTTTCTGTCAGCCAGAAGGTTGATATACTGTTTTTAACATTACTGTCTTGTTTATTATATCCCTCCTTTTTCATTTGTGTAAACTGAGAGGAATGTATTTAATACAGTTGCCTTCACCTTGTCAAAGGAAGAATGTGTTTAATACATTCGCTTTCTCCCTGTCACTTGTTATCAACTTCCCCTGTAGACATGTTCATTTTGTTTCTTTATGAATCGAAATCCTGACAAAATTTTTGTTATTTGGAGTTTCGGATGTATATGAATTTCTGAATCACAATAGTAACGAATTCCAACAAATCCGAAATTATAACAAAACGAATTATGTGAAATCGAAACTGGAAAATGAATTAGAATGGAAAAATATTGCAATAAATACAGTAAGGTATACAAGTGAAATTTGATGATGATTCCTACTTAGGCTGCTTTATAGAATATAATATAAAATAATAGAACAGAATAAAATAGAATAGAAAAGAATATAACAGCATAGAAAAGAAAATAGAATAAAACAGAATAGAAAATAGAGGAATACAATATAATACCATAGAAAAAAAAACAAATAAAATAGAATAGAAAGTAGAACAGAATAGAAAATAAAGGAATTGAACAGAACAGAATGAATATAGCCATCTTCCTAAATTTGAATTGATTTGAAAATAAAGAATGTACGAAATGAATATCGAAGACAAATATTTCTTTAATAGCGAATATGACGAAATTAAATTATTAACTTAAATTCTGTGCCTGCGTGGGTTTCCTCTGGGTACTCCAGTTTCCTTCCACACTCCAAAGACATGCTGGTAGGTTCATTGGATCCTGTCTAAGTTGGCCCTAATATATGTATGTTTGAATGTAAGTTAGGGACCTTAGATTGTACACCTGTTGAGGGTTAGGGACTGATGTGAATGTACAATATATATGTAAAGTGCTGCGTAAATTGATGACGCTATATAAGTACCAGAAATAAATAAATCCAAAACTAAATGAGTTTAACCATCGTGCACATCTCTATTCACCTTATCTTTTATGGGGCCAATATCTTCCAACTTTGTCTTTTTACTATTATTAATTTTGAAAAACTTTTTGGATGGGATTTTGCTTATGTCCTCAGCAATGAGTCTCTCATAATCTAATTTTAAGCTGCTCTAACTGTACTCTTGCATTTCCTATTGCACGCTTTGTAGTTTTGTTACAGTGATGGTGACTCTTCAGCCTTATATTATTTAAAGGACTGTTTGTTTACTCATTAATATGCCTTTTTACGTTAGTATTTAGCCACCTGGGTTTAATGTTTATTTTTTTTATGCATTTGCTGCCCATTGGAACTCAGGAATGTCATTGTATAGTATGTCCTTAAAGTACGTTCACTTTTCTTTAGTGTTCTTTGATTCAAAAATTTGATCCCATTTAGTGTCATGTAGTATAGAACACAGCTTAGTAAAGTTGGCTCTTTTGGAATTTCTTGATCTACACTCCTGTTCTTTCCTAATTCAGCAGTGCTGCTTCCTATGTCACTTGTCCACCCCTGGCCTGCCTACTGGACAGTAAAACCCCAATTGAACTTTCAGTGTAAACCAATTAAAAGCTTTGCAGCTGCATTAAAACAAAGGCAGTGCTACTGGTAGGATCACCAGGTAAAAGCAAAGGTAAAAAAAAAAAACCTAACTAACTTAAGGTGAATAAGGACTGGTAAGGTGCAATATATTACTATTTCTTTTAGGGTTTGACATGTATGCACTATATTACACATTTAAAAAAATACAATTAATGAGCCTCCTTAATTCTCTTTTTGTCTTCATTAGGCATAAATCATGGCGACTTAAATGACTACAATATACTTGTGCAAAAGACCAACACATCAGATGGAAACACTAAGGAACAGTACCAAGTGTCAGGAATTCTGGATTTTAGTGACATGAGCTATGGTTATTATGTTTTTGAAGTGGCAATCACAATTATGTACATGATGATTGAAAGTAAAGACCCTCTTCCTGTAGGAGGGTATGTACTTGAAGGATTTGAAAGCGTCATCCCATTGACCAGAGAAGAAAAGGAGGCCATCTTCACCTTGGTGTGTAGTAGATTTGCTCAGTCTCTAGTCATGGCCAAGTACAGCGTCCTGCTTTGCCCAGCCAATGAAGATTACCTTATGATAACCTCTAAAACTGGCTGGAAGCATTTAATCACACTACTTGATAAGGGCAAAGAAGGTGTACAGAAAATCTGGGAAGAAACTGCAAGAAGGTACCGTGAGACGATGCATCAGATCTAAATGAGTAAATCTCCACATTGCATAGAATGCATCTAAAATAAAAAGTACTATTGATATTGATAGTTGAGGAGAAATCATGAATGTAAGAAAATAAAAATTAACTTAAAAAGGGAAAAAGTTCACCTTTTAATCAAAATGAAAATGTGAACCGACTCCAAATATCCAGGCCACCCCGTCCAGAACCCACTGCACATAGTATCCATGGTGCCCCATGTTGCCAGTGTAGTGCATACACAGCCCCGGAGTGAGTTTCCATCATATTGATTGCTATGGCAAGCACTCAATCAGCGCAGCCACATGACAATGATGACCAATGAGAAGGGCATCTAAAACTACTTCTAGCAGGCATCCCAGAAGTAAGAAATGCTTCTAATTTTCTCATTGGTCTGTGCGGTCACGCGAGTGTGCTGACCAGTGAGTGTTTGCCACTGCAAACATTATAAATAAATATAGATGCTCACTCTAGGTCTGTGTATTGCTATATATGGACCACTACACTGGTGGCACAGGGTATCATGGGTGATATGTGCAGCAGGGTCCAGATGAATGTCCAGTGTACTTGTGTACTTTGAGTTAGTTCGCCATTTCATTTTTTTGTGAAATGGTGAATGCACCCTTTAAATATCTGCTCTAAAAAATTACAACTTTATGGCATTGATGAATGCAGGCTGGCAGCACTGTCAAGGCTATATTCATAAAGTGGCATACTAAAATGTGTACACTATAAGCCTCCCTCCTAGATTGTAAGCTCCAAGGAGCAGGGCCCTCGATCCCCTCATGTTTTGCATTGTATTGGTATTGTTCTGTCACATGTTCTGTCCCCCTTTGTAATGTACAGTGCTGAGCGAACTATTGGCACTTTATAAATACTGTATAAGAATAATAATAATTCCCTCCCTTGACACACTGTGAATCTGTAGATCAGTCATTTCTGCCTTTCAGCCATACATATAAAGGATCTAACAACTAAATGGTTTGCTGGGAATATGAGGAATTAATCGTGGAAAGTTAGATCTTTGTAAATATAGATAAATCATATTTCATGTTAAAAGGTAAGCACACCAACAGAAGTGGAAAAACCTTAGCAAAATAGAAAGGCTGTATTAGAAGTAATTACTTTCCCCAAGTCATAGGGGTATGTTTAAACAAAATGAGTTGGACAAATGTGACAAGCTTTACCCACTCTTGATAAATTTTGACCATAATTTGCTTAATGCAGAGATTCCCTATGCTTATCAGCAACATCGAGAGGACATCATGTGGATTTTTCCTTAAAAAATACTTCATTATGGCCACTAGATGGAGCTTACAATCATAAAATCTCATTACACTTTACTCCTTGTGTGCCAGCATATTGTAAAAGTGTTTTTTTTTCCTGAAGTTCTCCTTTGAGAGGTCTATTTATAAAACATTAGCTGGACAAATGTCACATATATTCATGCAGGCTGAACAAATATTCCCTGTATTTTCTATACTAGATTCATTCCTATGACCATCAGCACTATCTAGTGCCCAAAATGCAAAATTGTTTTCTGAACTAACTTAGTGAGAAAACATACAGCTCTTTGGCAACTAGATGGAGCTGGCGATCATAGGAATTATTCTAGTACAGAAAATTCGTCTAGCCTGTTCAACAAATGCTTTATAAAATACCCACTAAGAGAAGAGAAACAAAATTTATAAAACGGACAGGAGAACCTTAGCTATGGGCAATGATTAAGTAAATTACAGCCATAGAAGGGGTGTTTAAGAGGAGATAGGATTGCTATCCACAAATTAATCAGTAGTGACTGTAGTAATGGGAACAAACTGTTTAATCTAAATTCCTGGCCAGGACATATGGCCACAATTTGGGGTTGGAGGAAAGGAGTTTTAAATCTGAATTTGCAACAGGGGGTTTTAAAAGATTAGAGCAGTAAAAGTATGGAACTCCATTCTCCAGGTAGTGGCATCAGCTGGGAGTGCTGAATACGTCGAAAAAACATCTAGATTTTTCCCCTCAATGGGCACAATATACTGTACAGGGGTGTGTACATTCCTAGAAGACTCGAACTGATATGACCATAGATTGGACTAGATGGACTTGTTTATTTTCCAGTCTTATCTGCTATGCAATCATGTATAATAAAACCCAGGGCTCAACAAATCCCAGGCACTAGGTCACCAAGGCGACTAGAAATTGCGTCCTGATGCCTGAGTTCACACACTGCCTCCCACAGACTTCACTGGAACATCAGCCAGGAGTGGCTTCGTAAGAAGCATTTCAAGGTCCTGGAGTGGCCTAGCCAGTCTCCAGATCTCAACCCCATAGAAAACCTTTGGAGGGAGTTGAAAGTTCGTGTTGCCCAGCGACAGCCCCAAAACATCACTGCTCTAGAGGAGATCTGCATGGAGGAATGGGCCAACATACCAGCAACAGTGTGTGCCAACCTTGTGAAGACTTACAGGAAACGTTTGATCTCTGTTATTGCCAACAAAGGATATATAACAAAGTATTGAGATGAACTTTTGATATTGACCAAATACTTATTTTCCACCATAATTTGCAAATAAATTCTTTCCTAATCAGCCAATGTGAGTGTCTGGATTTTTTTTCTCATTTTGTCTCTCATAGTTGAGGTCTACCTATGATGCCAATTACAGGCCTCTGTCATCTTTTTAAGTGGGAGAACTTGCACAATTGGTGGCTGACTAAATACTTTTTTGCCCCACTGTATATAAGATTGAACATTGGACTACAACAGGCAGGTGTGTGTCTAGGGCCCCTTGGTTCTCTGAGAGCATAAAGGTAGCAATGACTCAGTATATGGAATCCAGGTCAGCAATGGCAGTCGCTGTATTTCTCTCACTACAATATTCCCTTGAATGAATCCTGATTATCTGGTACTTTCTGTTGCAACGATTGGTATGTTCATGCAGCTCAAGCCACCCATTTCTCTATGGGAAGGCAGCGGCAGTAACCTCAAGACCTCCTTCACACAAAGAGTTGTATTAATTAACTCTATTTCTTAACTCAATATGGCTTTATCTTTTAGATTCAGAATGATTTTAGTATATTTTTTAGCTGTTTGATTTTTTTTTTTTGGGGGGGGGGGCTGTCAGATAGAAATCATGGGGCTCCAGACATCCTAACAGCATCCCTGGATGCAACAATAACCAAAGCTGCCTGCGTGGCTTCTATGGGGCCTGGGGTTAAAAGAGGCCCCTATTATTGGGGTTGTTGAGCCATTTAAAGCACAAAATTATCAGGGTGTATGTAATGATAACACAAATCCAGTCCTGTATTATTAAAGATTGCAGAGGCTGCATTTGACATTGACCCTGTATCTCCTGAATTTTTCAGTCAAGAAAAATTTGTTCAGAGTGCAGACAGAGGGGGAAACTTCAGAATTATTGTCACTAGTCAAACAGATCCAACTTTGCAGGCTGTACAGTAAAAATATTTTTTTTAGCTGTCTCTAGTACAGATTTATTGGCCTTAGAGCTTTTGATCATCCTGTCCACCACTGAATCTACCTTTGTGACCATGTTTCATGCTACTTCCAAAATTTAGGGTGTAACAACAAACATGGTTACCTACCCCTACCCTCAAATCACCCCCACTTTCCTGGATCAAGAGGCAGTTCTCCCAGCAGCATGGTTTTCAATTGAAATTGGTGTGTCTCTCTTCCCCCGCAGAGTAGTGTCATCCATTAACCACTTCCAGCCCACCCTATTATAAAATGAGGGCTGGGCAGGACTTTTGTCTTTCTGGGTGTAAATCATAACTTCTTCCCATAACTCACATTGAACATGACCGTGCAGAAATCAGTCACCAGCTGTGACACTGTACCGGGTCACTGCCGGGACCATGTGATCGCTGTGACCAATCACAGCAGATCACAACAATTGTAAACAATGAACGGATTTGATTCATGCCAGTCGTGTACAATTATGTTGCTAGCTGTGATTGCTCACAGTAATCACATGGTACAGACAGGTCCAATCATAGTCATTCTGTATCATGTGATCAGTTGTGACTGAGAGCTAAGCACAACAATACACACTGAATGAATCAATTTCATTTCGTAAAAATGGTTGCCTATACTAGTGAAAATTACTGGTATAAGCAATCATGATGGGAAAAAAAAGAACAAATCCTGATCACTCCCCCCCAGAGTAGTACAATGTTACTATGGTAACATTACATTCTCCTCCCAGAGTAGAATGGTCACAGTGTGTTAAAAAAATTGTAAAAAATAACAGAAAAAAATGTAATAAAGAAAATACTGTTACCAAGCAGTGTCCATGATCACCGCCATACCAGTTATATGACGACGCTGTACTGCAATGTACAAAAAAAGTTTTTTTTTTTTTTTTTTATTTCTGCATTTTATAACAAATGACAAAAATTAAAAAAATTTTAACTCTCCATGCCTCTTACTAAATACCTTGGACTGTCTACGTTCCAAAAAAGGGTCATTTGGGGGATATCTGTACAGTCCTGCCTCAAGAAATGAGATAGGCCATAAATTTTAAGATTTTATATATATTGTGGGAACTCGCTTCAACTGGTAGAGCTTTTCTTGTTTAAGCACACAGCAACTCGCTTCTTTAAGGGCTTTTTTTGCCCACTTTTATTTAAAGAAAGTTCAAATAACACAAATGCTTCCCACGCAGGGGTATCCACCATCAAGAAATACCAACAAAGATTCAGCCTCCTGGCTTGTACACAGTTCACTGTCTGTCTCCTGCAGACTCTTCCCAAATTATGGCCACTAGCACACAGCTAGTCTGGCTTTCACCTGACTCCAAGGCAGAGACCTCCTGTCTGCCAGGGTGGAGCCCTCCTGACTACTCCGTTTGCCGGGGTGGAGCCCAGAACCATGGTTAGGCCTCTATAAAAAGGCCTGCACACACCTGTGCAATCAGTGTGCTGGGGGTTCTCAAAACATGGACCCCGGATTGGAGATTTCATCCCTCCCAGATCTCTTTGAAATCTCCAGGCTCCAGATCCCAAA